AAGTTTAGATTGATGTTTAACTGAAAACTGCATACCACAACATGGTTAAATTGACACATAAATTAAACTTCACATAAGGTTAATAATGGCATAACAGTAAAAGATGATGGTTTCAAATTGGTCACGTGGCAGATAAAACACACAGGTGGTCAAGATAACCGAGGCACATTCTTCTGAAAGGGGTGTGGCAGAGAATCCCTCAACACAAGCAGCGAATGGCAATGTCAAAATGCTTGTTCTCAGGCTGGAAAGCGTATTTCCAATTCCTACACTGGAATGGAAAGATAAAGAAAATGTCAGGGTCTCAGACAGAAATCTTTTCTATTCTGCCCCTGCCCCAAGAGTTGAGCACCTAGGGTGGCATGCCTTAGACATTGTGGGTGAAGGAGGGGCAGAGGGACAGCAGCTGGGGAAAGGGACCGGGCTAGGAAGGTAAGCCTTTATCTACAAAGTGTAGGGATTATGCCTTCTAAGTATTAAAATTTTATTTATTTCCTAATAGAAAAAAATTATGTTGCAGCAGGAACATTTTTACAAAGGAAATTATTAAAATTTTAGGTGGTTTGACTACCAGGAGTCTGTTATTCCTTCCATCTTTCCTGGAAAACATGGAGGCAGGAAACTGCTTAAATTCTTTCTACCACTGTATCTTTTGCCATTTCACTGTCTTAGCTGTATCTTCACCTTCAACAAGAATGCATTTCATTCAAGTACAATTCTGTTTGATCCTTTATTTTTCTCCATGAAGATAGACCTTCTGGCAGAATGAATATTTTTTAGTTACAACTGAAACACTCGGGGAGAAATCAGTTTGTTTTGAAAATACTCTCTGAATTTGAATATATTTGATCTGAAAAATTTCACACAAGGTTTTCAGTAATAATGATTAGGAATGGGCATCTATTCCTATGAACCTGAAGACTCTCTCAAACAAGGCTTCTTAACTGGGTCTATACTACAGTGGGACCAGAGAAAATATACGGCCTATTTTTTACTTTTAAGAAAGGTGTTAAATTTAGACAAAATTTTATCTTCTGGTGACAGTATATTTTCAGTCTTAAAGTTAGATGGAAAGTATTTAAAAAGCAACACATTCATCTTAAAACTTAGATTAGGCCTTGCTATTCATACTGGAAACATATCATATAATATTAAAAGAATAAATTCTGCAAATTTTTGTAAATTGGTCTTTTTTGTGTATTGAATGCATATTTTTTGATGACAACATAAAATATTCTCCAAGTGTTGGCATTTGGAGAAAATTCTGGCATTTGTAAAAAATCTGAAACCTCAGCCTCTGGACTGATCTCTCTCTCTCAGCAAGGTCTTTCCTTGAACTTTTCTGCACATTGTCATAGTGTGATTCCATCTGGCTTGCCTGGAGCACATGCTCTGTTCTGTGTCTGTGGGGTTGGGAGGGCTGTTCCTTGCAGGGACTAAATAGCATGATTTTGAGCTCAATTGCTTTGTTCATGCCAGTTGTCTGACTTCTGCTGTAATGGTGGATCACTCTAAAATTTTGGCAGAAGGAACTTCCAGGTTATATTTGATCTAAAAATGCATCCCTTATTAGTTAGAAATAGGTTGTACCTTTCTCTCAATAAAGCACATTAACTACTTCTTCCTAATTTCAAAAGCTTGGGCTGATGGTAAGTAGGGGACACAAACAGACAGACAGACTGACTGACAGATTAATTCTGTCTGCTGTGATCTCCCAATAAAATGCATGTGTTCAACTTTTGTCTTTGCACAATCCCTAGAATTGCTTCTAAATTGAATTCCAATGAAGAGTGGATGGGATAGAAGTTTTGCTACTGCTTGTTATTAACATGAATATAGTTTCAATCAATGTTACATATACCATAAACGGATACATTATGAAAGAGGAATAATAATTCAGTGTTTATTCTAAGTATATAAAAAGTAAAAGTATAAGTTTCCATAGTATGCAAAGTTTAAATAAATGAAAAATATTTTGTGGATGAAAGTGATAGTAGCCCATTTTGAAAAAATAGAGGCATATGGGAAAATGAACTATTTTTGGTTAAACATACATACACAGAAAGCAGAATGATTCTAAATTTCAATTTGAATATGATTTAGAACTTAAATTGATATGGAGACAATTTTGAGTCTTTAAGTGTTAGTTCTTTGCTTCTGAGGAATAGACTCTCCAGGCTTCCCCTGCAGTGAAATGTGGGTGGTAGTGCAGCTCACAGTCCATTGAATAGATCTGGGGTGATGGAGACCTCATTGTAACACCTCATTAGAAATATGACTGCTATTGTGGCAGGGGAGCTGCATTGTGCTTGCTTGTGAAGAAATACAAGAAAGGAATTTTGATCTTGAACACACTTAATACCTTATTATCAAATCAATCCATTGACAAGCTTGAAGTTATAATTTAGGGCTAGTAAAAACATCTTTTTACATTATTTTCAATTATTTCTACTACTGGTCATAATGTGTCTAGTTGAAAATAATAAATTTGGAACCAGCTTCATGTTGGGAATATGAAAGAGTGCATATCCTATGGCTTAGAAATTCTAATTTTATATATTTACCCATCAAACACAAGCTCAGCCTGCAGGGGAAATTTCCTTCCAGGTTGTTCTGCTGTCTGGGAGCATACATAGCCTACAAGTATGCTAATATAGGACAACTTTTTGTAGTGAATTTTATTTTGAGAAATAAATGTGGGAAAATGAAAATTGTTTATATTTTTATTCACACTTAATACCTTATTAAATTTTCTTGATATGATTCTTCTTAAGTCTTATGTTTCAATACAATTGTACTTTTCTTCTATGTTCTATATTAGTAAAAATGCAGCTTAAGCAACCATATTAAAATGGTAGTACCTCAGTGTAACTGAAAAGTTGGAGTCTTAGTCAGAGCTGGATCCAAGTCTTTATTCTTTGAGCCATTTTCACCTGATTTTGTAACTTTAAACTTCAGTTTTAAAAGAAAACTGTAGCTCCTGGTATAGTTGTGTCTGCACAACTTTATGAATCATTTGTTTATTTGAAAAATCTACATATTACTTATATGTGATGATTTTTTTAATGTAAAACTTAAAAAAAGGGCAAACTTGTTATATAAAAAAAGGAAAGAGGAAGAAGATGCTTGCACTGACACAAGTAGTTAGAATAGCTGAGTTTGGAATGGACAGACATTTTAAAAGAGATATCTGCATAGACACAGGTGGGGTGCAGGCCAGAGATTCAGGGGGTGAGAAGATTCACCAGATAGAGAGGGGAGCACAACAGGAGGATTTGTTACAGGTCAGGGAGAGGGACACCCCTGAGCCCCAAAACCTGCCTGCTCTAACTAGCTTCTGCCATCCTCCACATGAAGACAAAACATTAAGACCTTTAATGGAAAGGAACTTTAATACAATTAGTGTATAATACAGAAAAGACAAAGAACATAGTTCTTTGATGAGTCACTCATCCCCTTGTGGGTAGAAGTCTACCCAAAAGGGAGTGGCCCAAAGCAAGGCCTAAAAGTCCACCACAAGTCTGAAGTACTATCTGGTGGGGAACCATAGAAAAGGATAAGAGATGGCCAGACAAGTCTGGGAGAAAAAAGCAAAATCAAAACTAAGATAAATTCTGCTGTAGTTAACCTCCCCATGTGTCACACACATCTGTTTCACTCAGTCTAGGAACAAGAAACAAGAGATGTTTCTTCACCCATCTCTACTCATGTGCCCTCCTCAGGTCACCTTCTGGCTCTTCATCCTACTTTTTCCCTCTTCAGATTCTTCTCTCCAGATCCTACTCTTCTATGCTCAGCTTCATCCTCCTTGGGTAGGGCAGGGAATCTGGAACCTCCACTTTTCCTGGGGACCACCCTGTTACATATTGACTGCAATACTGCTGAGACTTAAGCTCTTGCACCAACAGGGGGACCCTGGTTGGTACATACTGTTTTATTGAGCCTCTGCTTGATCTTATCCTCAGGCTGCTTCTCTCAAGTATGAAAAAGAGCAAGTATGAAAAAGAGTATCCCTGAACACTAATTACTATATATTCTGAATCTCAAATAAGTGCATGATTCTATTTTCTTCAGCATCCAAATCAACACTCAGGAAGGTTCTCAGTTGACCAATCATATATTCCCATGGTAGGGACAATGTGTACGGAGATAGTATCTGCTCTTGGCCAAACTTATTGGGGATAAGAGGGGCACATGAATGACATCTCCACCCAAACCACAAGGGGTATCGTGGGTGGATCTCCCAATCATAGAAGGGGTTTGGACAGACCAATACTGACATTGACTATTTGTAGATAATATTTTGTTTGTTCATTTTTGTTCCCCTAATGCTTTATATATTAGTTCTATAATAATTGTCACCTTCAGCTGAATTATGCCTGCTCAGTAGTAGGAGTCACATCTCCCTTATCCATGTGTACTTGTGTACAGTCAATAGTATATGCTAAATAAAGTAATAAGCTATTTGATAGGCGAGAATGATGTTTGTGGATAAATGTCTCAAACTCATTTTTTTTAACTTATTCTAACAGTTCCTTAGAAGACTGTTATATTCCTGGACTATTAAGAAAAATTGACTTGTTAATAAATTAACATAAATTTCAGCCAATAGTGTTATGTTAGTTTATAGATGACATCTGACATGTCAACATTATTTTCCAAACTAAATTTAATCAATTGCAGGTGCCATATATGGAACTTGTTTTAATACCATATAAATAAAACTTAAAGCAAATGATGCAGTTGCCTTTACATTTGATGTGTTTTGTCACTGTGTTTGCCTGACAATGTTGGACCAACATATGGAATGATCAACTATGCATGATCTGATATAGTCAATGCACCTACTCAATACTTTTTATGACACGTGCCCAATTCTTTCTCAATTACAGTGATTCCTTTACTATATATGTTTGATTGTAGAAGGAGAATTAACTCCTTCTGGAAAGAGAACTGAAATCAAGCCATTATAGCTTTCATCCTTCTTTTTATGTTCCCAGAGACTTGAGATTTAACAGAATAAGAGAAATTCCTGGGAGTGCCTTCAAGAAACTCAAGAATTTAAACACTCTGTGAGTACTTCCTACTTATCTATTTACATACTGCAGTTACAAGTTGGATTGCAATTTATCATAATAACTCATTTTGTGAGCATAAATAACAAATATTAGAAGAATATAGCTTTAGTAGAGACTTTATAACTAGCCAAGTTCTTTTCCTTCCCACTACTTTTGTTTTTACTGTCTTCTGAATTTGGAAGATGTATCTATTTACCTAATTGTTATCACATTCCTTTTTTTTTAAGATGATTTATTTATGCATACAAAACTAGGGTACAGGCTAGAGGTGCAGGGGCGGTGGGGGGATTCGCCAGAGACAGAGCAGGGTGCAGAATGGGCAGATAGATGAAGTGCACTGCTGAGAAGAGAAGCAGGCAGGTCAGGAGAGGTCTGTGGATCACCTTGGGGCCTGGGATCAAACTTGCACTGAAGTGGCTGCAGCAAGCTTGCAGTGCTGCATCCTAACCCATTGCGTCACCAGGGAGGGTCTTCATTCCTTTAAA